GAAAATATTATCTTTTCAAGTGTTGGCTTGAAAAGATAATGCTTTTCAAGTATTAACAATATTGTAAAACTAAATTAAATGGCATTGATACATTTTAATGATATTACTATGGTTTTACGTATTTCTGATTGTACCGAATACTGTGGAATTGTGAACTTTGACACAGGGAATTTTAAAAAAAAGATGGAAACATTTAAAAGGAAGATTTAATAAGTGTGCTTAGAATGTTGTGGATGAAAAGGTTGGCTGACAAAGAAAGTGAAGAAATAAACAAAGGCCAAGAAATCACAAAACACATACAATGCAAAAAGCTAGAATACTTTGGTTCACAGAATGAGAAATGAGAAGTACAGATTGTTACAACTGAAGGTTCAAAGTGAAAAAAAATAGGGAAAGAAGTCCAAGTTGGCAGTAGAAACTGGGTTGAATGCAACATGTCATCATTTTTTTTTTGAATTGCTGCATCCAAAGTCAAAATAGCACTGATGACATCTGATAGGAGCCATACAATGAGGAGGAAGTGGTAGGAATAGATTAACATTTAAACTAACTTGGAATAGTTCATTGCCTTTAGTGCATAGAAAATGTTGATTTCCATAGTAGCACTTGGAAAAATTGGTTTCAATATGTTGATATTTGCATTTTGTGTGTGTTCTGATGAGAATGTTGATGCATATAAATTTCAGGATGGTGGTCAGTATTTAGCATAGTAGGGAATCCATTGATAAAATAGCATGTAATTTTAAAAAAATCATTGACTGGAAGCATGTAAGTCATTCTCCCTCCTACCTAGTAATGTACCATGAAGCTGAATAATACAAGATTCAGGAGAGATCAACAGAAGTGCTTCTACACATAGTACATAATTAAAACTGTGAGATTATCTGCGGCAAGATAGAGATGGCTGCCAGTTTAGACAGATTTAAAGAGGGGATTGATAGATTCAGATAAGATAAAGCTATCCATGGCTCATTTAGTCATGGTGGCCAATTTCATACGCAGTAAGCAATTGTATACAAATTTCTGATGAACACATAAGAGAGTGTTACCGCATTTGTGCCCTGCTTGTGGGCTTTCCCAAAGCTTCTGGATAGCTATTGCAAGAAAATTTAAGAAGAGGGCAACAAGAATGATCAGGGGACTGGTAAGCCAAGACCTATGAGGAAAGACTGAAAGAACTGGGCATGTTTAGCCTTGAGAAAAGAAGAATGAGGGGAGGTATGATAGCCCCTTTCAAATATTTGAAAGATTGTCATGCATAGGAGGGGTAGGATTTGTTCTCAATCATCTCAGAGCTCCCATGTAATAATGGGCTCAAGCTACAGGAAGCCAGATTTAGGCTGAATATAAGGAAAATCTTCTTAAATGTTGGAACAGTACAACAATGGAACCAGTTATCTCAAATGATGGTGTACACCGCAACACGAGGCAGTCAATAGAAATTGGAGAACATCTGTCAGAAATGCTTTGATGTACATTCCTGCATTGAGCAGGGGGTTGGATTCAATAACCTTATAGGCCCCTTCCCAGTCAATTATTCTATTATTCTGTGAAAAGAGTGTTCTACCAGATAGTGCTTTGGTCTGATCTGGCATGGTTTTTCTGATGTTCAGATTGGTTAATACAATACCTTTCTTTTCCCATTCTGCACTTTCTCTATTTTATTTCTCATAAAATCCAAGTATTGTATAGATTATATTCCAAAGCTCTTCTCTTTTCAAACAAAAGGTCTGACCTGGTTCAGCAGTTCGGAAAAAAAGTAGAAGAAGAGGACAAAACCTTTCCTCCCTTTTGACCTCTTGTCCTGACTGGAAATACAGTCTAAGAACACAGCTGGGAGAAATCAGCTGTACTAACCTCACTTCAAAGAAGCATTCTGAATCATCATAAAAGGAGTAAATCTTAACGATACAACCACCATTAAGGACATTTTTGTATAAGTTAGGATCTCAATGTGATGTTGTGCCCTCCTGTACATGATTCCAAAATAAATCAATGAATCAATAATATGATACAGAGTATGACATTGCCCTCACATGAACAATTCTGGCTACAGAGAATTCAGTCATGAAGAGAAAGTTTTACAGATGTCCGTTATCAAGAATCCTTTAAAACCACATGATGCTGAAATATTTATATATGGTAAAGTGAGCTGGTAATTTAATGGATCCATTTGCAAGGTTGATGCTAATTCTGAATTCAGCTTAAAGGAAGTGCAATTTATAAGGGTGTTATGATTTCCATGTGTAGTTGGTACTCTGCAACATAGGCCATTATCTAAACAGTTAACAACCTTTCGGTGCCATTGATTTCAGCAGGAATGCTAAAGATGGTCTAATCCTTTTATCTTTTATTTAAAATATTCTAAATTTGGTAACATAGTTAAGAGCATAGTTAAGAATATGAATACGTAGGCACTGATTTCCATAAGGAAAGGTTATTTTCTCCTAGGATTAGTAAGTTTTAAAAGTACTGGTCTATGATTGTACCTACTTTCTGTTGTCCTGATGAAATACTTGGTTTAAATGTTGGTCATAAATAAACATGGCTGCAGTCCAGAGCCCGATTTGCACACAAGGTTATTTTCCCATCCTTCACATAGTTTCCCACAGTACTACCCCCACCACCTCCATCAAGGAATGGGAAAGTTTCTGTGTACACATCACTGTACCTTATTCATGCAACAGATTCAAACAAAATCTGACAGACTTTTCATAAACTCTCCAAACACCTATGAATTAAACTAAATGGTCTCCTGTGTTTGCCTTTATTAAAATATTGTGTTTGGCAACATAGGTCAGTTCCAAGCAAGTCACTTCTTAGAATCCCACATAATCATGATAGTTTATCAAGGTGGGGATGAGCCGCAAGAAGTTTCAGGTTTGCATGTCCCATCCCATCCTGTTACTGTCGGAAATTATCAGAAGCCTTTGTTTCTAGCATTTATTAAACACTGTTTTAATTTCATTTTATCTGAACTCAGCAAATGATGGTTAATCTTAACTGTGGTTCATTTGAAATTGGCCAGTTTGAAGCCAAGGGTTATAAAGATCTGCCTTGTTTCAACAAGCACCCTTCAGATTAACTGTAGTTTATAGTGTAGGTGTTGTACTAAATTATGATTAATCAGAAACAAGTGAAAGCCTCCAGTCACTACACAGCTATTTTAAAGGTAAGAGCAAGGGAATGAAGAAGTCTAAAACTTACCGTGTCTTGTTTCCATATGATATGATAAATCATGGTTTACATCAGGGGTCTCCAAACTACAGCCTGTGGGCCACATCCAGTCTGCCTTGCTTTTTTATACAGCCCAACAGGTGGGTGGGTGCCTCGTGGCGCAGTGCTTAAACTGCTATACTGCAGCCAAACTGTGCCAACGACCTGGGGTTCAATCCCAGGTAGCGGCTCAAGGTTGACTCAGCCTTCTATCCTTCCCAGGTCGGTAAAATGAGTACCCAGCTCACTGGAGGGGCAATGTGTAGCCTCCATAATTAACTTGTAAACCGCCCAGAGAGTGCTAGAAGTGGTATGGGGCGGTATATAAGCAGCATGCTTTTCTTTTCTTTTTTTCTTTTCTTTCTTTCTTTCTTTTTTTTGTGCTTGCATGTCCAGGTGTGCAGGCATGAGTGTGTGCAGGTGAATGGGCATGAGGGAATGTGGGCGTACGCATGTGCATGCATCTTCCTTCGGCCCTCAAAAATGTGGAGCATATATAATGTGGTCCTGCTAAAAAGTTTGGAGATCCCTGGTTTACATGATGGGATAATCTGAGCAGAATTAATTATTTTGATTCCTTAGAACAGGGGTGGGCAATTAATTTCTATAGGTGGCCACATGAAAAAATCTGAACTGCGTTTGGGGGCCGCACCAACTTTGCTTAAAAATAAAAGATAAGCAACTGATTAACTTTAGACAAAAAGCTATAAATGGTTTTGATGTTCAACTTGTTCAGTGAGAGAAATCCAGGCTGTCTTGGGCTTGGACAAGTGCTTGAACACAAGACTGGAGCGACGACTGGTGGGCCGGACAGGAGCGGCTCACGGGCCGTATGTAGCCCTCGGGCCGCACTTTGCCCAGGTCTGCCTTAGAAGAAGTTAGTCATTGAATAGTATTTTGGAAAAGATATCTATGCTTAGGAAATTGAGTAATAGGGATGGGATTTTCAATTTCTTGGACTACAGATTCCCCCTTCTGAGAGGTCTACCTGACAGACACTTAAATTTATTTATTTATTTATTTATTTATTTATTTATTTATTTATTTATTTATTTATTTATTTATCCCCCGCCTATCAGGTCATTTCAACCATTGGAAGAAAAGCCTGAACTGGAAGCCTTTGGAATTTAGCTAGGCCTAGGAAAATTATGGGAGGGAGAAAAGCCTAAACTGGAAGCCTTTGGAATTTAGCTAGGCCTAGGAAAATTATGGGATTAGTAATCTAAGAATTCAAAAAAATTGTTTATTATCTCACTGGAAGCATTGAATGTGGGCCCTTTCACTCTGCCCATTTTCATGTTTATACTGGGAATGTGTGTTGTCAACCAGATTGTTTGCCTTTCCACTTGTATTTGGATGACAGCTATACAAAACCTTCTGGTTCCTGACTATCAAATTATATATTCAAAGAACTCTCTAGAATGACACGGTTTGTACTTTTTCCCCAAAGAACCAAAACTTTGATGTATATGGATGCCAGCTGAAGGGCAGTGCTGTAACTTGGAGCAGCAAAGTTCTGCCTATTAATGAGGTATGGTTTGGATTCCTCATCACATGCCAGCCATTCAACTGCCACTCTAGGAGGAATCCAGCTGTTGACTTGCTAATTAGTGATAATCTGATGCTGCAAGTTATGGTTGCTGCTCTTCTGCTGGTTTAGCTACGCAACAGGATTTGGGCCAGAGGCTTTTAGAAACTATAGCATATATGTGGAACCTCCCAAAAGGGTGAATCAGAATAATCACAAAGAACATTTTGTGTCGGTTTCTTTTATATTGTTGCAGCCCAGAAGATGGTGAGATTCATCCTGAAATCTGTAGACTATTCATCCAGTTGCAGTGTTGCTTAGAAATGTATACGACAGAGATGCTAAAATCCATATGCCTACTAGGATCACTTCAGCTTCATCGGAAAGGTATTCAGTTATGTTCTAAATCATTTTGCCTCTAGTTCGTTCACTTCAGTTGGGTTGAGCCTATTTCTTTGTTGCTTGCCTGGTTAATCCTTGTCACATGCTTAGATGACAGTGGCCATCCATTCTCCATTGCTGCTTTCTCCATGTCAGAAGAAGTGAGGTTTCTCTCACTCAAACAAAAATCTCAGTTTTCTGGGATTCTTGCTTGTGTGGAGAGCCTTTGGCCAAGGAGGACCTATTGCCCCCCCCCCTTCAGATATGTGCATTCCACATTGAGAAAGCAATGACAGAGGGACTCCTCTCTAAATGTTTTCCTGAGAACCAAAAAAATTACAACTCAATAGGGCAATTTTCTATCTGTGAAACTGGAGTCTGTCCATGTTCTCTTCATTTATTTATCTGCAGAGGGTTTAACTATAGCACAGGAAACATCTGTGCAGAAATCAGGAAATTCTGCATTCAAGAATACAGTGGTCTGTAAGTGATAAAACAGAAGATATGAGCAGCCCTCGCTCTAAGCAGAGGAGATGCACCTCATCTCATAATGGCAGAACAACCTCCAATCCTAGCCCTTGCTTGGACCACCAACTGCTTATGATAAGAAGTACAGCAACTTCCTTTCATAATTTTAATTCTGTTTTGATTCTTCCATCTAAATATGTATCTGCTACATCTTGTAGATCAAATATCTTTTGGTATAAATTGGAGAATTCCTTCCTTTCCTTTTTCTTTCTTTCTTTCTTTCTTTCTTTCTTTCTTTCTTTCTTTCTTTCTTTCTTTCTTTCTTTCTTTCTTTCTTTCTTTCTTTCTTTCTTTCTTTCTTCCTTCTTC